ACTCAAGTGAACTTCTGTTAAATCTCCGGACCTGTTGCCGGAGCCGCAGAGCCGCACCGCACCGTAGTCAAAAGGGCGGTGTGAGAGGGGGTGTGCGGGAGTTGCGGTCTCCGTCGGCTCGGTAACTGCACCGGAGCCAGTGTGAGCAAGGGGTGACTCGTAGCTCAAGTGTAAAAACAAGTGTGTGTACTATATGTATGCAAATGAAAAAAAAACATCTGAAAAAAACTGAAACAATTAAGAGATAGAGGTCAGTGTGTGAATGAGAGAGCATGTGTTCAGTCTTTGGAAGGCAGGTGTGTGTGTGTGTGTGTGAGAGTGTTCATGTGAATGTGTGAGTGAGTGTGTGAGAGAATGAGTGGGGGTATTTGAAATTAACAGCTGAGACAAAAACAATTACAGATGATGCATGAACATAATTTAAATTAGAAATGAAGAAATTTGGGATATATTTGTGAGTGAGGGTAACTTACCACATACAACAATGGTGGGAGTCAAGGGCACTCTGTTCATGTCCACTTCTCTAGCCAGGCAAGTATCCTCCACATAATGGAACATCACAACCCTACAATGCAACACAGAACCTTTTAACGTGTGCAATGTTCTCCCGCAAAAATGACAATGAATCATGTCGTGGGGAGCTTGAAACAGGCTAAATAGCTATTAGCTGCTAGCAGCCAGTAGCAACGTGAAGTTCGCCTATCAGCCAGTGAAATCAATAAAAACGCGCCGTTTTGTTTCACAAAATTGTCTTTTGATTTAACCTGATGCTAGAACCAGAGACATTACTTACTGAATCATGGCGTGGGGAGCTTGAAACAGGCTAAATAGCTATTAGCTGCTAGCAGCCAGTAGCAATGTGAAGTTCGCCTATCAGCCATTGAAATCTATAAAAACGCGCTGTTTTGTTTCACAAAATTGTCTTTTGACTTAACCTGATGCTAGAACCAGAGACATTACTTACTCAAACTTGGTGTCTGTTAAGTGCCACTGCCACAGAGCCGAACACGCACGTGTTACCAACCTAGCTAGTAGCCACTGCGTGGGACGCTGACGCTGATGCGCAAATACAGCCTGTGAATGGGCGGAGCTAACATTGAACCAAAATAATTTGATATTCTCCTGCAAAGAACAAAGTATTTGTAAAATAAACTAACCTACATAGCAGGAATAAACAGAAAATAGAATTGTTTACTTACCAATGATTGGTTCCATGAAAAATTCCAATATATGTAGAGCAGCGAATCAATTCAATAAGTCCTCTTCCAGATGGCCATGGTTTGATTCAGCTGTGTTTTCCATTCAAATATCATGGATAGGCATCCCGTGTTAACTAGACCTACATAAAGCTTCCCTTTCCTAATTTATTCAAAAAAAAAAGTATTGTCTTTTCAACACATTAACAGTTTTATTTGGTTTAGAGTTTTACGAAATGGTAAACAAAATTAGGTTAGGGATCAGTCGAAGCGCAGCCCAAAGACCCCTTATGATGAGTACCATTAATGGACTCAGTGCTCTCTGACTGTGGGATTCCAGAGGTAGCTGATTGGTAACGGCAGTCCAAGCGACAAGCGGCTCGGGCGGTTGCCGAGGCAACAACTCGTTTTATGAAATGTGCCAAAGGGCCTAGGCCACTGACTTTTATTTAACAGGGCAATGATGTAATTTTAACTGTATGACTTTTTTTTGGCATTACAGTTAATTTGTGTTTAAATTACATTAATTTGCTAATTATACAAAAAATTCTGATCTATTCAACATATTCTTACTGTAAAATGAACAGTTTTATTTGGTTAGGAGTTTTACAGTTTATCATTGTAAATTACACAATGCTTCATTGTTTTTGCATCTAAAGTTTTTTTATGTCATGATTTTACAGGAATTTACTGTTAATTCTACGGATATTATTTACAGTGTAGGTACATATCCCTGTAACAGAGATAGATTAATCACATCTAAAATGGAGGAGGAGATCAAAGGGAATACCTCCTTAAATAACCTGGTTGGAACTGGATCTAACATACAAGTTGAAGGCTTAGATGAAGACAATAATTTTGCTAATTCAGAGAGTTCAACTGGATCAAAGCAGTCTAAACCCGGTTCAGATTCCATGACTACCTCAGGTACAATCGCGGATAGAGGAGTGCTTATGATCTTATTTTTAATAAGATCAATCTTATTTATAAAGAATCCCATAAAATCATTGCTGCTAAGAGCAGGTGGAATGGACGGTTCAACAGAGCTATGGCTCTGGGTGAGTTTGGCAACTGTATTAAAAAGAAATCTAGGATTATTCTTATTCTCTTCTATTAATGAGGAGAAGTATGCTGCTCTTGCTTTACAAAGGGTCCTCTTATACAGCAGTAAATCATTTTTCCAGACTAGGAAGGACTCTCGCAGGCCTGTGGAGCGATATTTTCTCTCCAGTTTCCTAGCATTTTGCTTCAAAGTATGCAGCTCTGCATTAAACCAAGGAGCAAGCTTTCTATTTTTAATGGTTTTCATTTTCAAAGGAGCTGCGTTGTCTAAGGCAATAAGCAGAGAACTAGCAACCCCATCAACAAAATCATCAACCTGTGAAGGGGAATAAGCTAAGCTTTTGCACTCTGCAGCACTGCTCAGTGACACAGAGGAGAGAGAAAGTGAAGCAGATTCTTTAAAATTTATAACTGCACTATCTGATAAAGATCTACTAAAATTGAACCTTCTTTTGGGGGAGGAGAACTCTGTTAAAGTAATCCTGAAGGTTATTAGAAAGTGGTCAGAGAGGACAGGGTTGTGAGGAAATACTGTTATTTCTTCACATTCTATGCCGTATGTCAGCACAAGATCCAAAGTATGAAGATGAGAATGCGTGGGACTATTCACATTTTGAACAAAGCCAATAGTGTCTAAGATAGCATTAAAGGCTGCTCTTAAGCTATCGCCTTCAATGTCAGCATGGATGTTAAAATCTCCCACTATGATGACCCTGTCAGTATTTAATACCAAATCAGAAAGGAACTCTGAAAACTCATCTAAAAATTCAGAGTAAGGACCTGGTGGACGATACAAAGTTACAAAAAGAAGAGGTTTTCTTGCCTTGAAATTTGGATCAGGGAAATTAAGGGTTAAATGTTCAAAAGAGTTGTAGGTATTAATTGTTTTGGGAGTAATCAGTAAGTCAGACTGGAAGATTGTTGCTACTCCTCCTCCTCGCCCAGAACTTCTGGGGATGTGAAAATTTAAATAGCTTGAAGGAGTTGCCTCATTTATGCTCACATAATCCTCTTGCTGCAGCCAGGTTTCTGTAAGGCAAAACAAGTCAATGTGATTATCACAAATCAAGTCATTAACTAGTAGACTTTTAGAGGAAAGCGATCTTATGTTAAACAGACCGCATTTAATTGTTTTAACTTTTTCCCCAATTGGAGTTATTTTGATTTTAATTAGATTATCATGATTTACTCCTTTGGGAATCTTTGCTAATTTATTAGATTTTGGTCGTGGGCAAGACACTGTCTGGATGGAGTAAAGAGTGGGTAACAGTAGAGAAGCTGCAGAGATGTGTGTTAAACTACAACTCTGCTTCCTGGTCTGCACCCTGGGTGGTCAGGGTTTTGGAGGACTAATAAATGTGGCCAGATTCCTAGAAAGAAGAGCTGCACCATCCAAAGTGGGATGGATGCCGTCTCTCCGAATCAGACCAGGCTTTCCCCAAAAGGATTGCCAATTATTAATGTAGCCCACGTTGTTTTCAGGGCACCACCTAGACAACCAGCGGTTGAATGACGACATGCGGCTAAACATGTCATCACTGGTCAGATCAGGGAGGGGACCAGAGAAAATTACGGAGTCCGACATTTTTTTGGCAAACTTACACACCGAAGCAACACTAATTTTAGTGACCTCCGATCGGCGTAACCGGGTGTCATTACCACCAGCTTGAATAACAATCTTACTGTATTTAACCTTATCCTTAGCCAGTAGTTTCAGGTAGGATTTGATGTCGCCCGTTCTGGCCCCCGGCAAACATTTGACTATGGTCCCTGGTGTCTCTAATGCCACGTTTCTGACTATGGAGCTGCCAATCACCAGAGTGGGCTTCTCAGTGGGTGTGTCACTGAGTGGGGAAAACCGGTTAGAAACGTGAACGGGTTGGTGGTGACCAGTGGGCAGAGATCCACGACTACGCTTTCTGCGTACAGTTACCCAATCGCCTGGCTGCTCAGGCACTTTTGGAGGACAGCTACGTGGGGGGCCTACTTTAACTCCTGGATGTTCAACAGCCTGAAGCCTGGATTCTAACTCTGACACCCTCGCCTCCAAAGCTACAAAAATACTACACTTATTACACATCCCATTATCACTAAAGGAGGCAGAGGAATAACTGAACATCTGACACAGAGAGCAGGAGAGAGGAGAGGAAGAAGGAAGAGTTGGAAAAGAGTCAAGGGAGGGAGAGAGAGAAGCCATAGCAATGCTAAGCTAGCGCTAGCCTAGGCTAGCTACTCCTTGCTATCAGAAATAAAACCGTGTGAAACTGACAAGTGCTCAGTAGAAAAGTGCAGCAGAAGGTGCTATGTTTTAAAGTAGTCAGTTAGAGTTACTTAGATACAGAGATATCACAGAGAAAATAACTTAACTTCAGATGGAGATCCTCTGAACAGCTGCACACTCAGTTAATCCAAACAGGAAGTGAACAGGTCCAAAACAAATGAAGAAAATGAAGGCTAATCATGCTTTGGGTGTACTATTCCTTTAAGGACACGTGACAAAGTTTAAAATTAACCTTTTTCAACTTTCTCTCAGTTTAATGGCTGTCCTGATATTTACTTTAATCTGAGCTGATTCCTCCAGGGCTTCTATAGGCCTCTTGGTGATGATTGCTCTCTCTGTCAGTCCTATCAGTTCAGAGTCATAATCTTGATAGATATGCAGCTGAGAGCTCATGATGTTGTTTTGTGCAGAAATGACCTCTGAGATCTTCCCTGACAGAGTTGTCTTTTGTTCTCCTGCAGAGGACGAGCCGTGTAAAGAGAAGGAGGCCGTCAGCACACAGGCCAAGTCTAAACATGTGGAACTTGTGGCGTCTCCTCTGCCTGTCAGAGCCAACCACAATGCTTGGGCCGACGACGCTCAGCGCCAGCAGCCGCATCTCCCTCCTGCCCCGCCGCCCCATGCCCTCCCACCTTCACAAGTTCCCATTGCGGTCATCCCAATGGTCCCAGTCGTCAATGCGACGCCATCTGTCCCCCCCCTTCCACTTATGACGCCGATTGCAGCGGCTGCAACGTCGCTCAGCAGCCCCCTGCCTGTCAAGCAGGAGAGCATCTCCCCCTCTCCGGAGCAAAAGCCGCCGCCAGCCTCTCATCAACTGTTGTGCTCCTCCCAGATCAAAATGGAATCCGTCCAGCAGCAAATGGACATAAAGCCCACTCTGTCACAGCCTCAGGTACAGATTCAATACCCAGCCTCTCATCACCTGTTGTGCTCCTCCCAAATCAAAATGGAACCCGTCCAGGAGCAAATGGACATAAAGCCCACTCTGTCACAGCCTCAGGTACAGATTCAATACCCAGCCTCTGTTAATACCAACGGCTCTGGCTCCCATCATGCACTGGTTCCCCATCACGCTCTACCCACGCCTCAGCCCCGCCCTAACGGAGTGACGATAGAGGATATGAGTGGGATGGAGGTGAAGAGGAGACCTGGAGGGTGAGTTTATGTCTCCGAACGCTGTAACTTGTTTAACTTCTGGAGTCGGTTCATGTTTAGATTTCATCATTTACATTTTTTGCAGAGCGGGAACCAGAGAAGTGCATAATAAGCTGGAGAAGAACAGGTGAGTCTAGATATAGATTTCTGCTGCAGCTGGTTTGAAATCTTCAAGAGTTAAGCTTGACTATTGCATCCAGGTATATAGAATGGTGTCTGTGAAAATTACAAACTTTACTGGGGCTGACCACTTATCTCTATTTATTCAGTGAATTACTGATTGCCCGTTGATAGTACGGGGTTGAAGTCAAGCCACCGGCCGCCATATTGGTGCTCCCTAGTTAGCCCGATCCCAATATAAACAATGCGTGCGCTACAGCAGCCAACAAAGATGATGTTTTCATATTCAGGGAAACGTAATACTTTTAAAATAAAGATAAATTCATCACTTTGACACACACAGGTGTTTCATAGCATCAGTAGATTACTTTAACTTACCGTATTTTCACGACTATAAGGCGCACTTAAACGTCTTTTTTTTCCCTCAAAATGTGCAGTGCGCCCTATGGTGCGGTGCGCCCTATGTGTGTTGTAACTGCGACTTTTGAGACCACCTCATTGAGGAGATGATGAAAGAGTGGCTGAATGTAAGGAGACCAGGTGTTTTTTTTCCATATCATCACCATCGCTGTTAATATGTGACTCCATGCGTGCCCATCTCACAGCTGATGTGAAAAACATGGGGAAACAAATTAACCCTGTGCTCGCTGTTCAACCGCTGGACATCGGTGTGAACCGGACCCAGCAGGTGCAGCAGAAGCAGCGAGTTTACATGCAAAGTCAATGGTTGACGCGCGTATAGGCGCAGCAAAAGGTCCTGCAGCGCGTTTTGAGCAGCAGGTGCAGCGTCGGGAGCGTTTAAGCATCTGACGCACCGCCAACGCGCTGCTGCTGCTCGAGATGGAAAAATTGAAGTTTTGCTGCTGGACGCGCAGCATCAACCAATCAGAGAAGCTGATCTGGGAGCTGACAGCGAGACAGACACAGCGCTCTGATGACATATTATATTAAATGAAAAAGGCTGGATGGATGAGGAAATGATGAAAGTGTGGCTGAGGCAGGTGTATGTGAGGAGACCAGGTGGTTTTTTCCACGCATCACCATCGCTGCGTGCCCATCTCACAGCCGATGTGAAAAAAAGGTGAATCAAATGAACGCTGTGCTCGCCGTTATCCCGGGGGGTCTGACAAAGGAACTTCAACCGCTCGACATCAGTGTGAAGCGGCCGTTCAAAGTAAGGCTGCGAGCGGCGTGGGAGGGATGGATGACAGACGGAGACCACAGTTTCACGATAAGTGGAAGGCAGCGCCGGGCGAGTTACGCCACCGTTTGCGGATGGATTGTAGATGCTTGGACTAACGTGTCTGCTGGCTCTATTGTTCAAGCTTTTGCAAAAGCCGGCATTATTTCTGAGGAGCCGCGCTGCACGGAAAGTGACTCTGACAGCGAAGAAGGGGAAATTGGCATGTCTGATTTAGTGCAGCTGTTTTATTCAGAAACAGAGGATGATGACTTTGATGGGGTTGATTAATACTTTGTAATAAATACATGAATAAAGCACAAACATACTCAGTTTTGCTCCCGCTCTATTTTTCTACCTGAAAACTTAATTCAACAGCAGCCTCTGGGCGGGTCTCCTCCTCTTCACCGCGGTGGCTGGCAGGTGTTTTTTCATCTAAATAATCTAAATCTTGCAGCTATATTTGCTGTGATCAGTGGGAATAAAGTAGTTTTAATATGTTTTTAAGTGAGAAAGTCCACCTGAAAACTTAATAATTGCAGTCAGTTCATCCAGATTATCTATTTCTGTCGGAGGCGCTCAGACCCCCACATACCAGCGGTGCACCGACAGTAGAAATCCCTTCACCAGCAGCCTCTAGGCCGGGCAGCCTCCGGGTTCACCACGGTGGCTGGCAGGTGTTTTTCATCTAAATAATTTAAACTGCAGGCACCAGGATACCGGTAATAAAAGCGAACATATTCCGTCGGCAGGTTTCAGGATTTTAAGTTAATTTAGGAGTGATCGCAGCGCTGTGTCATCTGCGATGTGTCTGTCTCACAGCCAGCTCCCAGGTTTGATTAATACTTTGTAATAAATACATGAATAAAGCACAGTCATACTCAGTTTTGCCCCCGCTGTATTTTTAAATATGCAGTAGAGGTATTTAAAGGTAGTAGAGGACATGTACCTGTATATAAAAAACGCGCCCTATAGTCCAGTGCGCCTTATGTGTGTGTTAAATACAGAAATGGCACACATAACTGAGAGTGCGCCTTTTAGTACGGTGCGCCTTATGGTCGTGAAAATACGGTAGGCATTTTTACTACGCATCTCTGTGGGAGTGGGGAGTACCAACATGCCGGCCGGTGGATTCACTTTTTTCTGGCAATCCAGGGAATAAATAGAGATAAGTGGGGCTGACAGGTGCAGCAAAAGGTGAAGCGAGCTGCAAAAAGTCTGATATGATTTGTTCTTTGTTTTACTCCCTCTAGTGGTCTGGAGCACTTTTATGTGTAACAATTTGCTCCTCCTTTTTTCACTATATGCATAATTTTCCTTGTGCGGTTGCAGGATTTTTTGTTTTTTTCGATTGTAGGTTTTTGCTTCTGTTTGTAGTGATTGCAGCATCTTTTGTTTGCACCATTTTTCTACTGCATTTTTTATTTTTTTTTGCAGCTCATTTCTTAATTTACTGTGCGTTGGCACATCCATAGTTTTTGGCCTTTGAACGTCATAAAATGCAGTACAGACCAATTTAAAATCACAAGCTGTCTTTCAAGAGTAACATCCATTACTGTTACTGTGAATACTTCCATTTTGCTTAACTAACCTATGATTTATCTTCCAAACAATGCAGGAGAGCACACCTGAAGGAATGTTTCGAGACGCTAAAGAAGAACGTCCCTAACGTGGATGAAAAGAAAACCTCTAACCTCAGTGTTCTGCGCAGTGCACTCCGCTACATACAGGTCAGTAGGTTCAATGTTTTGGGAAAAAAAGGCTGTTTTGTTCCTTTTTGTGAACCTGAATCCCTTGGTTTTCACTCTAGGAGAAACTTTGGGATATTGCTTGTGCAATTTGTACACAACTGATGTTTTGTTAACAGTTTACTGAAAGCTGGATGTAATGTATAGTCTAATACCGTCCAGTAAATTCCATGTCATAAGATTGAGGAACAATGCTACGGCTTGGTACGCTTATTTTTTTTATAAACATGAGTCTAAATGGGCCGCTGCACAGAAACCGATATCTTTATAGTTATAGAACTGGATGGAGTTATAAGTCGAAAGAGTAAAGCAATCATCATTAAAGTTTAATTTATTTGGGCGAAGAATTATAGCTGGAAGGGATTGCATGGTGTTTATGTTGGGTAAAATGTTTAGAAACCCTGTAGATGGAGGACAGCCACAGTGAGTGCTGCAGTGTCTTTTTTTTTTTTTTTTTTCTGCGATGAATTCATTGACATTTGAAGTCCAGTATGCTGCGCAATGGAAAGTTAGTGAGAGGAGCTAAAATAGGCAAAGAGATTTGGGAATTAGTTCATAACACGACCAGCAGAGAAATCACAGGGAACAGGAATCCCCTGGGAAAGCAACACAAAGGGATTAGAGGACCTATTTAGGGTGATGTTCTTAAGAAGTCTTTACCATTTAGCTAAGAAATAAACAAATAAACTCTTTAAAAAAACGGAAACTGAAATAGTAGTAGTTCTTGGGCATGGTAGTGGTTCTCCTGACTAGAAAATCGTCTTAAACAGCAGTTTTATCTTTTTTTTTCCTTCCTTAAGCAAGTTGATCTACACTGTGCATCAACAGGTGGGGGAGGGGCAACACCATATTATTTAATGCTACATGCAGTCGATGAGACCTTTGATTCTTTCAAGTATTCTAATAATTGCTAATAAATAATTAGGAAATCATTGGAGTTTATGAGTTTGAGCTTTTTAAACCTTGACAGCAGTGAGCGGCTCTTCTCAGTCTATGGCCTTTACTGGGATCTCACCCTTTATTATTCATGCATTTTTGGATTTCACCTTATTTCCTTGTCATTGAAATATCTAAACCACAGTATATTAGCATTATCTGGCTATGTGATTGTTGTTGAAAGCATATTAAACATTCTGTCTTATCCATGATCAAAACATCTTTGCTGAATTCCAGGTAGGTTTTCTTTGAAAGGGATTTAGATCATCTTGCTGCTTTTTAGATGTTCAACAGCTAGAGCCCCAAACCCTTTGTTTTTCTTTTCTTCTGCCACCCGTGCTCATAGAAACCAGTTCATGCAGTCTCCCTCTCCTTCTCTCTTAGAGCCATGTGACATCTGAGCACATGGCTACAGCAGACCCAGTGACGTCAGCGTCTCTCACCACCTCTGATCTGAGACTGCAGAGAGAGAGGGAGACAAAGACAGGTGTTAACGATGTAGCTGTGTTTCCATGGTGATAACAGGGGAATAGGTAGAGATTGGCTATAGCTATGTCAGCTTTTTTTTCCTTCTTCATCTCTGCAGACTTGTTTTAAAAGGATGGAGCCACATGGAGAACCTCTGTCTTTTTAGCTGTCACTATGACATTAAGCCTGATAGAGCAGATATTTCTCTGCCGTAGATTCAGAGCAACAATCTTTTAAAAGGAAAGAATAAAAGAGCCACAGATGATGTGTGGGGGGATGGGTGTTTTGGGGTTGAGGAATAATGGGGATCCAAAGCACTCAGCTGGCTGACGTCCAGTCACATCATTCCTTGTCTGCGGCCAAGTCTTTACCCTTTTTTTTTAAACTACAGTCTGCTTCTCAAGCAGCCAGATCCCACGTATAAGGTTGCCAAGGAAACGGCTATGGGTGGCTGCAGTTTCCTTGGTGTTTTACCACAGGACTAATTGTGGCCGAGTTTACGTGGGAATGTCTTTGATTGATGCTTATGGGTGGACATGTGCACTCTGGAACCTATAGAAGCTCAGCCTGAGAGTCTATTTATTTACTCATTCATTCATTCATTCATTCATTCATTCATTCATTCATTCAAAGTTTTCAAAAGTATTCATTACCCCTGAAGTTTTCTACATTTTGTCACTTTAGAACCAGAAACCTCACAACAGTTGTGATAAATGTTGTTCTGCTGTCAGGCGAACCTGAAGTCTTGTTCAGCCTCTGAGGCATTTCCATCCATATTTATGTTTTAGCTCCATCAAACTTTTTTCATCTGCTCTGAGCAATATCTCTTTCTCACAGAACAATAGGACTACCACTATGACTAAATGCATGCTGGACTTGCATTTCTTTCTTTAAGAAATATCACTCTTTCATAAAAGTGAGATTATTAGAACACACAACCAACTACCGTCTTTTCACGACCATAAGGCGCACCGTACTAAAAGGCGCAGTCTCAGTTATGTGTACATGTACATGTCCTCTACTACGTTTAAATACCTCTACTGCGTATTTAGAAATAGAGCGGGAGCAAAACTGAGTATGATTGTGCTTTATTCATGTATTTATTACAAAGTATTAATCAAACCCATCGAAGTCATCATCCTCTGTTTCTGCGCCAAATCAGACACGCCAATTTCCCCTTCTTCGCTGTCAGAGTCACTTTCCGTGCCGTGCTGCTCCTCGGAAATGATGCCGGCTTTTGGGAAAGCTCGAACAACAGAGCCAGCAGACACGTTAGCCCAAGCATCAAAAATCCATCCGCAAACGGTGGCGTAACTTGCCCGGCGCTGCCTTCCACTTTTCATGAAACTGTGGTCTCCGTCTGTCATCCATCGCTCCCACGCCGCTCGCAGCCTTACTTTGAACGGCCGGTTCACACCGATGTCAAGCGGTTGAAGTTCCTTTGTCAGACCTCCGGGATAACGGCGAGCACAGCGTTCATTTGTTCCACCTTGTTTTTCACATCGGCTGTGAGATGGGCACGCATGGAGTCACAGATTAACAGCGATGGTGATGCGTGGAAAAAAACCACCTGGTCTCCTTACATACACCTCCCTCAGCCACGCTTTCATCATCTCCTCATCCATCCAGCCCTTTTCATTTGCCTTTATAACGACTCCAGCTGGAAAAGTCTCTTTAGGCAAAATCTTTCGCTTAAAAATCACCATAAGTGGCAGTTTCTGTCCATTTGCGTGGCAGCCAATCCACGCCCACACTTCCCCCTTTAACGTTCTCATGGTGGTCTCAACAACGTCCGCAGTAACAACACACATAGGGCGCGCCGCACATTTTGAGGGAAAAAAAGACGTTTATATGCGCCCTAGAGTCGCGAAAATACGGCACAAAAAGTTATCCCACCTGAGGTGGAGCCAAACATCTCATTTTTCCTACCTTAATAATTACTTTATCTCTGAACCAGAGCTGGGTTTTATACTTTCCTATTAAAAACAAGGACTCAACAGAACAGCTTTATTACTTCCTAAGGCACTGTATTGTATTTAGGTCCTGAATGGAAATGGAAAAAATATCAAAATGTGTAGGGGTTAAGATTCCCTTATAATGCGCCTGTGTGTAAATATAAAGGCATGAAAATCTCTTGGAAGAATGTTGCCTTTTTCTAATTTAAGCTTGATTTAAGGCGAACTGTTGGTTAAAGTCAAAGAGCCCCACTATGTTGGAATGTTGTTTTCTTTGTTTGGTTTTTATCACCATCATTAAATCTGCCCTTGAGAGATTTCTGTGAGCAACAGTGAAACGTAGGATTAGAGTTGCTGAGCGGTTCAGAGATGGGGTGCTCCTGCGTGCCCAAATGGATGGTAGCAAGAGGGGAGGGGTGAATGGAGCAGAGAGGAATGTGGGCTCACGTTAAAGGCTATTACATAAACTGCTTTTCTCCTGTTGTATAAATAAAATGTACCCATCTTTTTCTTTTTTTTTCTTTTTTTTTTACATGCTCTCATTTTTCTTCATTATGTCTTTTGACACAGTTCAGAAAATGTTTCAGATGTTATACGATGAAAAGGAGCGGACATAAACATAAATCCCCTCCTTAACCTCCCCATTACCCCTCTCTCCATCTCTTGGTCCTCACTTGTAATCTAAGTTAATGTCCTTAGCTTGTCACGCTATTTTTGGTTTTACGTCATTTGAAACGTGCAGAAACTGGGTCACACAGACGGAGTATTTGGGGCTGGAAAGCTTTTCTTTTCATTTTCCTCACCCCTCCCCAAAAAGTAAACTGGAACATTTTTGGCCAGAAGTCTTTCTAATGACAAAGTGATCTGCATATTTACTTTTCTCAGGGAAAATAGTTGTTCAACAATTTAAAATAAACCATGAGAAATTGGATGTTTGAACAGCAAAGGAACAAGCAACAGTATGTATTTGAGTTTTTTACTTAAAGGACCTGTTTAACCTCTTGTTTATATTTTTAATAAATATTACCCTGATGACGAATGATGGAGCTCTGAAGATAACTGCACTACAGTTCTGTCCAGCAGGTGGCAGAAATAAGAGAAATGCCAAAGAATGAAAGCCCAAACAGGAAGTTAATTTTATTTTAAAAACGCAAGAGTCATTTACAGCAGCTACACTGGAAAAAAATCAAAATGTAGATAGTAATTTTTTTCTTAAAATAAGTGCATTTGTTCTTATATTGAGGAGGTAAAAGAGACATTTTGCCAATAGAACAAGATAATTTACATTTAAAATAAGAAAACACATTTGCATTGTCTTATTTCAAGTGCATATTATCTAAATACCTTATTTTAAGAGTAAAAATACTAATTCCATTTGCAAATAATCCAATTTACCTGATCAAATTATGGGTAGATACACTTAATTTAAGACATTTTTTACTTATTTCTATATCATTTTTTCCAGTGTAATAAACACTGATTAACTAACTAATGTCTATTTTTATTGTTATTGTGAGCTAAAACCAGTTCAAGAGTCTAAACCACAAACTAGGCTAAATGTTTTGTAAAAATCTAATTAAAATTACACAAAACCAAAACATAGTGACAAAATCTTTATATAATGAAAGTAAACAGTGTGAGGAGATAAAGGTGAGGAAGAGTTGCATCCAAACCGGGGACTGCTGTCCCTCTATCTACTCAACAGTTTTTTTTTCTAATTGTGGAATTAAGCTGATTTGTAAAAAGCAAGTAGAGTCCTTTCAGCAAGCTGACCAGCTGGGTGCAGCAAAAATGCTGATGACAAGGAATGCTCTATTACTCTATGTTTAATAATGCTACAGAAAACCCAAGCTACATTTTTTAAATTAAAACCACAATAGAACTAAAACATTTCTGTTTAAAGTGTAACTTTTCTGGTGTATCTTCTAATTATCCCACAGTTTTTCATGGCTTTTAAAAACTATGGATCCTCCAGAAACAGTAGATTTAGTTCTAAAACCTCAGAAATTAAGCTTTAGCTTTTTCTTTTTTTTACTTTAGCTAATTAGGATTTGAGAGAAACAAAAATGTTCTCCCATGCAACATTAAATAACAATTTAATATTAACAATAATAAGTGTCACATCACTATGACAACCATTTGTTTACCTGATTATGGTGGCTCAAAGGGGACAACAGAGATGTGTTTAGCTCTAATGATGTACAGTAGATCCTCCCTCCTGTTTCCTCTGACTCAGGGTTGGGATCTAAAGCTCTGTTTTTTTGCACATCCACACTAAAATAAGGTGCCATAGTTACCTTTTAAAATACATTTTTCTTTTCTGTGTAGCTTTAATTTCCTTTTAGAAAGAAAAGGCTAGCACTACTTATTGCCACTTTATATTTACCTAGTAAAAAAACAATATTTCCATTAATTAGATGTTAAGCTTTTTCCGCACTAATCAATAACATTTTGGCTTTTTGTAAGTGATGCTTCAATGTTGACCTGATCTAAACAGCTTCAGTTATTTTTTAGTTATTTTAGTGCAGGTCTGATTTTATAACGTTTTTAAAAATAATTTTATTTTACATGCCCTTTTTCGTGTGTTTCTCCCCTAACAGACCCTGAAACGTAAGGAGAAGGAGTTTGAACACGAGATGGAGCGTTTGGCCAGAGAGAAGATCGCCACGCAGCAGCGGCTGGCCGAGCTGAAGAACGAGCTCAGCCAGAGCATGAATGTCATGGAGATCGACAGAGTCCTCAGACAGACCATCCAGCCAGAGGACGACCAGGCCTCCACCTCTACCGCTTCAGGTCAGTGTTGCCAGGTGTAGTCCACTAGATCAGTCAGCACGACTGACACGGCAGGTCAGTCTCGAAATGAGCGGATGGAACCAATGACAGGAACCGGATTTAAACTAAATGGATTTGATGCAGAAAACACATTTTTGTAAGAAAAAAAAAAATCTCTTTCAGGACATAATTCATTGAAACACGCTCCGTTTCAGCTGCCATCTTGACTCTTAAAGTGACAGAGACGCTCATTTGCATTATTGGCATTTCTCCTGTGCTTCTGATTGGTCCAGCCTCTTTTAGACTGGAGAATCTTTAGCCTTACCAGACTGACTTTAAGGCCTGTGTAAGTCAGACTGGCTGACCAGGCTAGTAGTCCTTTACTTTTGCGAAGGATAAATTACATTTAATTTTGTTTCTGTTTGTTTTTTTCCGTTAGAGCTGTGCTGTCTGTGTTGACTGCTTCACAAAAATGTTTATTAAAAAAGCAGCAATGCAGTTTAATACAGCTATTCGTTAAAAGGTTTGTTATAGTGCATTAGTACTAAAGATTTTTCTCTAAAACTTGAATGAAATACAATATTTGGAGAAGAGTGAACAGCGGATCCACCACAGCAATGGTAAAACATGGTGGTGGAAGCATCATGCCATGGGGATGCTTTTCTTCCAACAGATGTAATTACTTGCTATATTGACTTTTAGATCCTGAGTACCATGAAGTGTCTCACCTTTAAAAACCATGCAGTTTCCATATTGTTTTGATCAATTAATTACATAGAATCCTGTTCAAAGACGGCGAAGTGTAAAGATCTGATGTGGAAAAACGAAAGGTGTGAAAACTTTTCAAGGAACACTAACTGCTCCTGATTCTGTAGCTGTGCAACGTTTCACTTCATGATAGCTAACAGTGTTGTGTCTGACCTTCAGAGGGCGAAGACAACTACGACCAGGACACAGATGAGGAGGCCGCCGCCCGTCCTGCTGTCCCAGCCCTCCCTAAACCAGCACCCCACATCTTACAGGCACAGCCGCTCCTGGCTTCGCACCTGTCCATCCAGCACGCCGCTCTACCTCTCTCTGGAGTCCTCACCACGCCCGCTCCCTCTGGACCTCCTCCCCCTCAAGCCATTGCCCCTGCTCCCCCCGCTGGCCCCCCTCCTCACCCACAGCTTCCCCTTCAACCTCCCACCGTTCAGGTCCAGCCAACCGTCATCGCTCACGCCGCAGTCTCACACCCGTCAGTCATCCACTCTGTCAGTCACACCCTTCCTGCCAATCACAAACATTTAACCCACATAGCCCCCTCTCCTCGTCCTGCCTCCTCCACCCCTCAGCCCATCGCAGCGGCGGCGGCGGCACCAGTCACCGCTACTCACCAGCATATAGCTCAGCCCATAGGACACATCACTGTCCACCCTGTGGCTCACCTGGGGGCTCCCCTCACATCCCACCTCCCGACTCTCTACCCCCAGGGGGTTCCCGTCAGCCATCCCACGGTGGTGGGCCACATCACCCACACCTTCACCCACCACGCCCTGCCCCACGTCCAGGCCGGCCCTCAAGCTAACACTAACGGGGCGCAGGTGAACAGCACAGCCGTGGTGAGCCAGGGGAGCCAATCGCTGGGGAAACCCACGGCGGTGCTGGCCCCGCACCCTCAGCTGGTCGGGCAGGCTGCTGTCCTTAACCCCGTTACCATGGTTACAGTCCCATCCTTCCCCGTCAGCACGCTCAAACTGGCCTAGAAAAGGAAAACGGACCAAACGGAGAGGGGAGATTGATTCAGACATTCTTTTTTTTAAATCTGGATTCAGATCATTTCTGACAGCAGTTGGTTTTTGGACGTGTAGTGATGAGAAACGCTGTGATTTTTTTCTTTTTTTTTATATATTAACAGCCCTGCTGACAGAAACATCACTGCAGACTCCCTGGGTTCAGAAAACAAGGCTGTGACATTTGCTTTTGTTGCAAAGCTAGGAATTTAGTTTGACCTTTCCGCTTCCTTCCTTCCTTCCTTCCTTCCTTCCTTCCTTCCTTCCTTCCTTCCTTCCTTCCTTCCTTCCTTCCTTCCTTCCTTCCTTCCTTCCTTCCTTCCTTCCTTCCTTCCTTCCTTCCTTCCTTCCTTCCTTCCTTCCTTCCTTCCTTCCTTCTTTCCTTCCTTAGCAACCAGAAGCACTAACACAATACTCCCAGCTCACACTCAGGCATCTGACTCTTCGTATCCCCATTCATCCTGTCATTCAGTCAACGGTAAAGCCGTCATGCGCTGTTATACTAGCCTCCGTACTAATGAGGAGGAGAAACTTGATCAATTTTTTTAAAATCCTGTCATGATTTTTTTCCCCTCATGTCCTCCAGCTTCACCCAAATCTGAAGTTCCTGAACTAAAACATCAGAAAGGAAACATGCTTGATCAGATAAAATATTTCCTTCTCCTATACAGCAGCCAGGAAAAGCCTCTGTCCCTATTTAACACATTCCCTCTGATCTCATCCCCCAACCTGTTTGAGTTGCTGGCTGTTAGAACAGCGCCCCCTGCTGCATTACTGAAGAGCTTGCATTGACAGCCATGAGTGCCACAATTTAATGAAGTTATTAAGGAATAAAGGATTTTTTTTTGTTACTGTTTCATTTTTTAGATTGAATTTGAGGCACTTTTGGAGCTCCATAGCCTTGGAGCGTGACGCACTCCTTTCAGCTCTGATAATTGGGCTCAAATATCAGTGGAAACTGAACCTTTTCAAGAGTCCCAAATATTTTTTTCCCCCATCAATCAGCTGTTCAATTGAAGATTACAGAAAATATCCATCAGTCAGTTTTTAAAACTAAATCAGTTTGTGTTTCTTTAAATCACAATTAATTTTAAATTTAGCATAATTATGAAGTTGCGATTCCCATACGTGATTAAATTAATGCACGTTTTGCCTTGAAGGTTTTTTGTGCACAAACACTTCCAGCCTAAACGCATCAGTCTCTCATTAATGTTATTCTCTCCCTGCATTACGACTGTAAATGTGACTATATGTTTTATATATTCTCTGCTATGATTAATCCTACTGTACCTGTAGCATGGCTGTTTGTTGGTTGTGCCGTTTGCCCCATGCATGATGTGTGTATGTGTGTGTGTGTAGCTGTTAGCAGGTTATTTTTTTACACAGATCTATGAGATGCGCCTGTTTGAATGGTATCGTGCGTGCCTATACTCAGTTTCCCTGAACACTGTGACAACTCTGGCTAAACGCGTATTTGAGTGAACGGAGGATTTATGTCTTTTTCCGACAATTCTTTATTTTATTTTTGATTTTTTTGATTTGGACTGTGATGCTGAGTGGAAAAATAAAAAAAAGGAGGAAAAAATCCTGTTAATCTTTTCTGGATAAAATAATAATGTCTAATAATGAAATGGAGTTTTTTTAATATTTGTATGTATGGAAGTTTTGTAGCCTTGTGATCGTACGCATGTTTCAGCATATGAGTGTATGTCTCCTAAACGCTTGATTTCTTTTGTTTTGCATGTAGGTTGCAGTTCAGTTCCTTATCTTTTAAAAGAAAAATACCTTTTAATGTTTTGTTTTTCTCGGGACCATGTACAATACTGTATAACGTGGGCAGAATCTTGGACCTCATGCTACATTGATATATATGAAATATAAAAAAAAATATGTTTTCCCTATGGAGAAAGTTAAAGTTATATTGCCTGTACACTTTGGGCTGCCTTTTAGATCTCACTGTCCACTGTTGAAAATATACTATAATGAAAATGAATAAAAAACATATTAATAATGAAGAATTATGCTGATGGAAAATTAAAAAAAGATTCTTAATAAATCTTATTACATTTACAACACATTTGTCTGTTGATTTTTGTTTCAGAAAAAACAAGAAGGTTTTGTAATTGAATTTTTTAATGATCATATAAAACAATAAACAACATAGAAAATGGAAGTTTCACTAATAAAAATAGTTCAAATAAGAAAATTCTACATGCTGACCACTAGATGGGAGTATTGTGTCATTCTAACAAACAAGCAATGCAGTGATTGTAGTTTAAAGGAATAGTACACCCAAAACATGATTAGCCTTCATTTTCTACTCACCTCCATGCTGAACAACACTCTGGAGTACTTTTTTGATATCTCAAATGCATCTGGAGATCTGGGAGACTTCTTGCTGTCTGCTGACATTCAAATAATGGAGGTCTATGGCGCCCGAGACAGAAAGGTCCACAAAAGTCCACAAAAACTTGTCAATATTCCTCCATACTGCTCGTCCAATGTAATCCAAGTGTCCTGAGTGGGTAGCATCCAGAATTTACTCGAAACGAAGTCATTTAGAACGTTTTAGAGCCTAAACAGTAGTGTATAGGATTTCCTAATAGCGCCCCCATGCGCGCTCACGATTCTACGGAAGCCGGCAGACCAAACCAGCGCATTCAGCTCGGCAAAGAACTCATGCTCTTCCTCAACACTGAAGTCCTCAGACATTTTTCTTTCGTTGTTTCTTTCTTTGCACAGGTAAACAGCACATTTCTTCTTCTACGCTTGCATTATCGGCAGACCAGACGCTGAATGCGCACTTCCTTCCGGTTTGGTCTGCCGGCTTCCGTAGAATCGTGAGCGCGCATGGGGGCGCTATTAGGAAATCCTATACACTACTGTTTATGCTCTAAAAACATTCTAAATTACTTCGTTTCGAGTAAATTCTGGATGCTACCCACTCAGGACACTTGGATTACATTGGACGAGCAGTATGGAGGAATATTGACACGTTTTTGTGGACTTTTATGGACCTTTCTGTCTCGGGCGCCATGGACCTCCATTATTTGAATGTCAGCAGACAGCAAGAAGCCTCCCAGATCTCCAGATGCATTTGAGATATCAAAAAAGTACTCCAGAGTGTTGTTCAGCATGGAGGTGAGTAGAAAATGAAGGCTAATCATGTTTTGGGTGTACTATTCCTTTAAGACAACAGCATGCAGAAGAAGTAAGCAACATAAGAGTTGTACAACAAAGCCCATTAACAGCTTAGAAGGCTATGTTTAACCTAAAGCCACATCTCTGCTGCACAAATACGTGGCTCCATTTGATCACCATGGTAACAAACATTGCTGGAGTACGGTGGCGGAGCGAGACTTTTCATTGGCTAGACAGTGATTAATAAGGACTCAATGTATAAAGAATGATACAAAATCTGTATTTTCAGACAGGCTAGATTCTCCCAAAGCCCTTGCTTATAAATAAATATATATGCATGGTGTGTAAATTAAAGGGGAAGTGGCCGACCTTTTTGGCTCTGAGATCCAAGGAAATCTTCGAATTCAATGGATTTCCAACATGCCAACCTTAGAAACATGATCACCCAAAGCTGATTTCAGGTAGCTTCGGTTTAATTGAAACTCAACTGTTTTAATGTATTTTTAAAAAGTGTCTGAGAATTGGAATCAAACCTAGTGAGAAGAAGGTGAAGGCCGCCAAAGAAATACGACCAGAGTGTATCTGGGAGATTCTTTTAGCCGTAGCAGAAGAGCAGGTAGGATGGTCTTGATCATGGAGGAAATTTTGATTTCACAAGTGGGGAAGCAAGTATTTTTTAATATAACCAACTTGAGATGAAAGTTGGTGGGGACTGATGGACCTTCAGTTACTCGACACAGACGCTTTCAAAAGGGTTTGTATTTTCCAAAAATTAGCTCAAACATATATTTATTGAATGCTTTCCTATGGTTCTCCTTTCTATATGTATAGGTACTTAGACATTAATGTATATTTATATAAAAAAAAAGATGAATAACAGCCATATCCAATGCCAACAGCAATATATCATGCCTTCCTAGTCTGCACACAATTTCAGTTTAATTCCATCCATCAATCCATCCAGAAAAATGTGGATGGATTAATGGATGTTTTCCCTTTTCAGCTACATGTGAATATCCTCCTTTAAATGCAGCAAAATCAAATTTAGAAATTTGTCCCACATATTGCCAAAGTCTTTGTATTGATATAATTAGAGGGGACTGTCCCCACATGTCCACAACAGTCCTTCAGAAAGTTATGCCTGTGCTTGATTCAGTGAGAATCTCAGGAGTGACAGTGGTGACAGGCAATCACACAAGAAAAGACGGACGGCCAATAAGAAGCTTGTGGGGGGTCTAAACTAGGGGTGTAAATAATAATCGTTTTGTATTGATGGATCGATCCAACGGCCGACGATCCAATGCATCGAAATGTCCGCAAGAGTATCGATTCTTTTTTTTCCCCCTTTGGTTTATTTTTATCCATTTGCTCCTGGACTTAATTTTTCACTCCCGTGCTGCGGTGGCGCTAATCCTATTTTTCCCTCCTACCTCGCTACTGCTACCATCTTTCTTGCACACACACAGCTGCATAAACAGTAGGCAAGACAGACATGGCGGAGGAAAAAGATGACTTACACACCCCTTGCAGGTTCAAGTCATTTGTGTGGCAGTATTTCATGGTGTATTCTTGAGTATCGAAAATAACTGAATCGTTGGGTCAGGAAATCGATACTGAATCCAATCGCCATGATGGATGTGATTTACATCCCTAGTCTAAACTCAGGGAAATGGGCTTCAGCTTGAGTTTTCCGCCTGGTCCTAGTGCTCGACGAATGTCTGTGTACTGTAGCGTAACATTGTTTTTGGACAATAAAACGTGCAGGGGACCAAAACGGACATTTGAAAAAGTATAGTTTTGCTCAACATTATTATATAAGTATGTATATATATATATATATATATATATATATATATGTATATACATTAAATAATATTAATTTATTTGTTATATACTGACACAGGAGACTCCTAGGTGACTTGCAGAAACACTTTCCCTATGAAACACAAATTTGTTCCAAAAAGAGCATGATTGATGTATTTGTCATCCCTGATTTTAGTTAATCGATGTGAGAAATCAACAATTTTTTTCCCCCTTAGGTTGTGTTTATCATACTAACAATTACTTTGTTAATTTAACTAGGACGTTCCACCTGAGTGCATCACTGCTGCCACCCTCTGGTTTAAAAAAGGAACTGCTTGTTCTGGAAGCTGTGAATTACATCCTGAAATCACCTGTCTGACCCCTCCTCATGCTTTGCACCTGCTGGAGTAAAGCAGATCAGAAAGTAGTGCTTATTTCTAATACTGCAATACATTTTGAATGCACATTGTATCAAAGTATAAAATCGCTGACTACAAATATTTAGTTCCGAATCTTATTTATGCCAAAAAGTTTTACTTTGAGGTAAAGAACAGCTTTTTCTCGTAGTAGCTTCATCTGGTCTGTTCCTGTTTGGCTGAGACTCCATCCTGGAGAGAAATATCAGCTGTTCTGCTGCCATCAACTCCTTTGTTTATAGATGTTGGAGATCGGCCTGTTTTTTTTCAGCGTAGTCCTGTTTCTCTGACTGTGACTGGCTGGATGTGCTCTCTTCATCCTTTGATGTGGGAGCTGGCTCAGAGCTCGTCTGCCTCGCTGTGTGCTTCCTGGACAGGGCCACCTGTGGAGCTGGTTTACAGTTGCCTTTTGTATCTATGTTTCTGTCTCCTTGAACCCCAGTCAGCCTCAGCAGATGGCCGTTCACACTGAGCCTGGTTCTGCTGGAGGTTTCTTCCTGTTAAAAGGGAGTTTTTCCTCTCCACTGTCACTGCAAGTAGTGCTTATAGTGTGAGGGATTGCCTTTGAGTCAATGAGTCGATGCAATAAACTGGTTTTCCTTAGATAGGAAAATCTATTTGACTGTATAATCTGGTTGAATTGTAACATGCACTGAGAAGACGTGTTGTGAATTGGTGCTATAGATTCAATTCAATTGAACTACAGACTTTTCGTATGTGTTTGGAAAATAGCTTTTCTGCACCCATCATATCTTAACTGTAGCCTCTAGCCACTAAATATCTTTACATTTCTGATTCAAAGATCTACATTCATACTAACAGGTATTAGTAAGGCACTTAAGTGATCTATCGCCACTTCAACAAGCAGTTCCCCTCTTTGCCATATGGTGGCAGCAGGTATACCCATAAATTCAATGTCCCAATTAAATTGACATTTTGATTGTTAGTATAAACCCTATACTGACTATAAAATACAATCATTTTTCACATCGATATAATTATATTGGAGATGAAAAACAGTTAATTTATGTTCTATTCAGAGGTAGGTTTTGGGGTTTAAATGAGAAAAGAGGGAAAGTTTTCTATGGTTTACTATGGAATTAGAGAACAACTGTTCAACACATTTAATGTGTCTATTATGCAGAGTTACAAATTATTATTTTTGGAAAGCATATAGATGATGTAATAATGTGTGTGTAGAGTTATTTTTAGAACAGATTTTTAAAAATCTGGTCCGTCCTCAGTGATTTGATTGGAAAATATGGCTGCTGTGCTCGTGTTGATTTACCTGCTGTAGTTAGTTAGAGGGAATATTAGCAGGTTTTGGTGCCTATTAGTTTCAGGTAGCCTTCAGTGTAGATTGGTCGCTGGCTTAACCTTATGAAAATGCCCTGGCTCCACCACTTTTTTAAATCCTGAAGATAAAACCAGATAAAATGATGACTACTGTTTTTTTTTTACCTGTTATCTTTTTGGTGGAGTTTTAGGTTTGGTCAAGGAGTAAACATATCTGTGTTGAACTTACTTTGTAGTGCAGCCCTTTTAATCTGCAAATCAATTAACCTCTTGCTCATTTTATCCTGCTGCATCAGTTTTTTCTCGTTTTTTTGACAAAATTATAAATCAGAGCATGTACTTTCTCCAGATAACACATATAAAGACATTAATACAGTTAAAAAACAAACAAACACTGGAACAAACCATCACTTAACATGAACACAAGCCAAGGTTTGAGCTGACATGCAGTTGTGCATATTCCACAGATAGGTCCACTGAAATGTTTTAGCTCCATTTATGTGAGCCTCTAACTGTGAGGTCAGTTTGCAGAGCATTTAGTCTCTGTTTGCTCCTCTGTTCCCTGATGTTAGTCTAAAGGAATCAGCAGCTGTCCCTCTGGCTCTGCTGCATCTGCTCCTGAATCCTCTCCAGCACCTCCTGCATCTTCCTCAGCTGCAGAGCAGAAGAGAAAAAAGTGGCAGGATGATTACAGAACCCCTGGATTCAGAGGACAGATGGATGAATGATAGATAGATACACACTTCTTCATCCTTCTCAAAAATCTGTCTCTCCATCTCTGTCTCAGCTGCTGCGAGCGGCAGAGGGAAGTCCACCTCACTTCCTTCTCGATACTTCTCACGCAAACTAAAATAGACATGCTGGTAAGGACAAAATATGCAATGAATTTCTCCATCCTAGTGTCGATCCTGGCTCCACCTACTTGCGTTTCCTCTCCTGTACCATCAAGCGGGTCATGCTCTCGATGCATTGCGCCCTGTAGTTTTCATAGTGGATTTCCCGTGTCACGTCCTTTAGATCCTGCATATGCGTCCTGACCAGCATGTTCCTCAGCAGCAGGAAGTCTGAGTGGTCCGGGTTCTCAACTGCCACGAACATAAACACATGCATAAGAACATGCATTCAATTAAGGATATAGAAATAAAAAAAATTATAAATATGAATATTAATGGACATACAGATCCTTGAAGAATTTTTGTCACATCTCTTAGCCTGACAACCAAACACACTGGAAAAAATCGAAGTCATTTTTTCTTTAAATAAGTGCATTTGCTCTTGGATTGAGGAGATAAAAGAGACACTTTGCCAATGTAACAGGACAATTTACACTTAAAATAAGAAAACACAATTGCATTGTCTTATTTCACATGCATATGATCTAATTATCTTATTTTAAGAGTAAAAATATTAATTCCATTCGCAATCTATCTCATTTACCTACTCAAATTAAGGCTAAATACACTTAATTTAAGACATTTTTACTTTTTTCTAGATCGTTTTTCCAGTGCATTTCTCTGTATCTACAGCAAAAATTATTTGCCCTTAATTTAAGCAGGTAGATAAGATGATCTGCTATAGGAATGAATATTGTTGCCCTTCAAATAAGATTATTAGAGTCATTAGTCAGTCAGTTAAAATAACAGAGAAGCCATTTCCTTATTTTAACAGTTAATCATCTTTTTCCGTTGGTAAATTCTCCAACTAATCTGCCTAAATTAAGGGAAGTTACACTTCTTCAGTGGTATTTCTTGTAATAAACCAACAGAAAGCTGTGCAGTTTTGTGAAGCTGAAGTAAAATGATAAATCTATGAATTTAACACATCTGTCTTTGCATAACAAATAAAAAAAAAGGTTAAACTCATACAGTTTCATCACACTAACAAAAAGGCTTAGAAAAAACATATAAACAGTTATAAGAGATGAAAAGGGAAACATAGGACATAATAAAGGTACAGAGTAAAAAATGGCTGTTAAACTAGGGGGTAAAAAGTCCCTCATGTAGGCTGCTTGCATGACTGTTCAGTGTTTTATTAGCAAATAACAAGACAGAACCTCCCAGAAGGCCAGAGTCAAAAAATTGCACCTTCAGGGCAGAGATGGGGGATCTGGAGTCAACAAGTCATTTCTATGTCATGTTTTTGTTCTACCCAGCCACTGAACCAGGTGATTCCAATCTGGTTTATCTATGTAAATTGAACTCACCAGGTTCAGTGGCTTGGTAGAACAAAAACATGAGATAGAAATGACTTGTTGACTCCAGATCCCCCATCTCTGCTTCAGGGTCCCTGTGTCCCTAACACATTTTAACAGTTTCTTCTGTTTGTGTCAAGATTTTTATGATGTTCCGATTTGCAGGACCACTCTGGGACTGTTGCACTGCTGCTGCAGAGAATTGAGGCCCCATGTCAAAAAACTGAAGAGGCAGCCGGTAAGAAATCTGAATTTTATAGGATCTTACTGCTACTGTTCTCATTTATGCTCCTTGATTTGAAAATGTCTTCAGTGGTGTAAATATTTTGGGAAAAGTGTATCCATGTTGTGATTTATCAGGTTGTGTTGTATGGTATTTAAGGTTAAATGTCTGGGTAAGGTGCAATATTGTGGTACATTTTGTAAAACTGTCATGTGCATATGAAAATTAGATTGTTTCAAGTATTTTGATTTCATGTATAGTTTGTGTGTCCTCAATAGTATATGTTCACTAACAAGCATAACTGTCTTTCTGTCTGAAGGTTTTTACCTGACTGCTGTTAAGACTGACTACAAAATGGGGAAATAAAAAGAATGGAAAAAGTCTCAATTGGGGTAAAAGGTCTGGTTCAGAGACCAATAGTGGCAGTCTGTGGGAATGAGTGGGACTTGAACTGAGGATCACCGGGACCCGAGCGCAATGCTCTAATCACTAGGCCACATCTACTGATATTTAGCCGTACCAACAGTTTTTTTTTTTGTGGTTTGCAGGGGAAATGTTCTTATTCAGCTGCAGAAAGTTGGACAAATACACAGGTTACTGTATGTTTTTTTTACGTCGTGATGTTTGGGAAGATTGTGCTAAAGGCTGAGCTTTAATAAATGAAAAAAACATTCAGATGATGAGTGTTTTTTTGCAGGAAAAGAAAGAAAGATGTGACACACAAGGTATGAAAGCATAACAGAATCTCAATAAAATACAATAAATTCATATTTGAAATTTTAAAAAGGCGTAATTACTCTTTTATTTGTTCAGTACCTTCTACTATGCCCCATGGATAAGAGCGGCCTCTGAACTTTCTGCCTTTGCTCTCCACCTGCATGTTGCTCCCGATCACAGCAAATGGGATGCTGTTCTAAAAAAAGATAAGAAAAAAACACCAAACTATCAACTCTGCAAACGACATTTACATCTTACATCAGATCGAACCTTGAGGATCTGCTCCTGTCTCTTAAAGTCCTCATCCTCATCAGAGTCACACTCTGGAAACTGGTAGATATTAATCCCAAACTGCTTGATCTCCTCCTTGATCTGAAACACAAGAAAACTAAATTAGTTAAGTGGAAGTTAAGCATAAAAAAGACGAGCGATAATAGAGGAATATTTTACAGACATCAGTCTGTGCTGATCGTGTGATACAGGGTAAATGTTGGGTGCTTGTTAATTTTTGTACCTTCAGTTTTTTGCGGTTGACCTCTGCTTGTGTCAGGCTATCAGCTTTGGCCAGTAGAGGAATGATGTTTACTTTTTCATGCATAGCTTTCATGCACTCCACGTCAATAGGTCTGAGACTGGCAGCATAAGACACAAGGCCTAATTAGACTTAGACTTAGACTCAACTTTATTTATCCCTTGGGATTACTCCTTCTGTATGGAGAACCAACTCTGCCATATTTAGAAATAAATAGAGAAATAAATAAATGCTCAATGAATAAATAAGCATACAATTAATTGCCACCAAAAATACAATAAACAAATAAATGTAAGTAGAAATTAAATTAATTAAATTAAATGTAAAAAAGGGCAGGCAGAAATAAATAGTGGCGAAGAAATAAGTAGGGTAAAAAATACAAAGGAAGAATAAAACAGACAAAAATATTATAACATGCACATAAATAAATACTTAAAAATATAAGTAATTAAAAAATAAAGTTGATGATTATAAAGGACAAAAAAATAAATAAGGTAAATATTACAAAGGCAAATAAATAAAGAAGCTAATTAAAAGAGTTATATACATTTATGTCTCACTGTATAATTTAATTTCTACTTACATTTATTTGTTGATGGTATTTTTGGTGGCAACTACTTGTATGCTTATTTATTTATTGAGCATTTATTTATTTATGTATTTTTAAATATGGCAGAGTTGGTCCTCCATACTTCTGGGAATTTCTGGTTCCAGTAGCTTATATAGAGTACAAAGAGTTAAAGCAAGATGCCATTAAAGATAGAAATACAACAGACAATATAAAAAGAGTATATAGTACAAATAGGCATAACAAAAAAAAAAGCTTTAATGTCCTGGAATATGTTTCCCTTAGATATAAAAATATCTGCACAGTAGAGCTCTAAGGGAAGACTACATAGTAGTTAACTTGCAATTAATTAAACTCTGAACATATTGCTGTAAAAACATCTATTGATACAGAAGTATGGGCTGTGGTGGGTTATACCCGTGACCAAACGGAGAGATGAAGTAGAGCAGGCAGTGGACTCTGTTGTCCTGGATGTTCTTTCTGTTCAGCCCGCTCTCGTCTCTGAAATACTGCTCAAACTGCTGGTCGACGTAGTCCTCAACATGCTTCCAGCTGATAAAAACACATATAATTCTTGTGATTAAAGCAGCCACACAGGAGGAGATGTTTGATATGCGAGCTGTTTCTCAGAATGTGTCACTTCATAGACTTTCTGTGAGGCTCTGATGGAGATTTTAACCAAACAAACCAGTCAGGATTCAGCTTAAGTTACTGATTTGATTTGGACGTAATTCTGATGGTATAGGACTAAGCATGATGTCTATTTAGGGTGAAAAAGTAAAATAAAAACTTTAAAAAGATAAAATAAAAAAAACATACAACATATGAATGAAGAAATGATCAAATTAAATTACCAGGAGTACCAAAACCATTTTTAAATTTACAAATGTTTTTAACAGATAATTTTTTTTATAGTTTTTGGTCACTTTATTGGCAAGAAAATGTCAAATATTTGTGCATTTAATGTAGATTTTATCAGGAAAGGTTTTGCATATTGAGAAGCCTGATTTGTGTGCTCAGGCTGCTGCAGGACCGTGCTGTTTATAACCACTTGATGGGCCCCACCTTTCTGTGTTGTTGACTGCATCTCCAAACCCAGGAGTGTCTATGATAGAGAGCCTCAGTTTGATTCCTTTCTCCTCGATGCCGATGGTGTGCTTGACGATGTCGACTGTTTGACTGATCCGTTCTGCAGACATGTGCAGTCATGAGGTAGCAGTGGATACAAAGTTAGAGACACTCTGAGAAGAACTGAACCCGTGAGGAGAAAAAAAAAGGAAAAAAAACACTTTTATGGTTTGGAGCTAAGGTAAATGATAAGAGGGAGCTTACCCTCAGCGTTGGGAACTTTTCTGTCTCTGTAGAGGTCGGTGAGGAACAAGCTGTTGATTAACATGGATTTGCCGAGTCCAGTCTCACCTACAGAATGCAAATATGAAATGTTTTATTAATCAAGAACATTTTTAGTCTCTCTAATCAACTCAGATCATAGAACATCACATCTTCACCAATATGGTGATTTGCTTCAACCTTCTCCAATGGTATGTGAAGGATTAACCCCCGTCACTAATAGGTGTTGTAAACTGGCCTTTACTGTCTTTGAAAAAAATGTAGTAATTGGGGGAAGGTTTAAGTCTTTGTATTTATTGATGTAACTTTAATATTTTTTTTTTTTTTGTTCTCACCACTCTCTTTTTCTTTGAGGTGTTGCCATAGCAGCACGCCCATGAGCAGTGCTGACAAGGACCTAATGTTTCCAATCAGCCTCATAAGGGAAATCCAAACAAACTGACTGAGTGGGAGGGGAGATGTTTCAGGTTTTGTTTGGATTTGGAGTACTGTTTGGCTTCAATTTGTTTAATTTAATTGTAAATGTTGTCTTTTTGTTTTATTATTTTTTTTCCTCTAGAGGTAGCTGAAGTCTGTAAGTTTTTAAAAATCACTTTTTTGTCATATTGGCTAAAACTGTCCCTATGCCCAGACAGCAGTACATGTGATATGTAACCTGTGAAAAAAACTGCTTCAATTGGTACCGCCTACTGCCTGTATGTCAATCTGGAAAGAATAATTCGGGACGAGTCAAAACAACCAATCACAGCCAGAGGAGCGTCTGATGGAGTGTCAATCACAGCTCACACACGCTGAATCCCGCCCCCCCCCCTTCTGTTCGCATGCGGTAGCCGCGCAGATGCTGTGAGAGGGGTGGAGCTTGGAGGTGGGGCATGAGTAGGGTGGCCAGATGTCCGGCTTTATGGCGGACAGTCCGGATTTTCATTGCACTGTCCGGCGTCCGGCGCCGCATCCAGCCGGACGTGTATTTGCCCTCCTTTACCCCCAGATTCCACATACTCCGTCAGTGCTCCGCTCCGCTCAAGTACGTCGTGCGGAGTACTTGTCTGTCATGTAAATCAATGAGAGCTGTTCCACATCCTCCACTACTCCTCCGCACGTCTCTGTCCACGTACGTCTTCTCCGTCCTTCACCGTCAAAATACGGAACTGAGCTCTTTTTGGCTCCGCTCCCGTCAGTCCAGATCAAGACCCGCAATTGCAATCGCACCAAACAGGATAAAGAATGTAGAGAAGACCCGGTTTGTCAAATTAAATTATAGTAAAAACAGGTCGGTTACTAGAAATTAGAGCATAGTTCGTATATATTCCCAAAATTAAGAGCAATTAATTAAATAACTGGATGCAGACTATTGGTGCTTCAACAGACCAAAAAATTCTTATTGCAGGAATAGATGAAGAGATGATGAGTTTGGAAGCGGAGAACAAACATAGTTCATACAAACTATGGATGATCCTGTTTATTCCTGTTACAAAAATCCACAACAGAAAGAAAATATTTGGGCAGAAACTGAACATCTGCTGGATGATGATGGGGATTTTTTTTAATATGTCATATTAAATTAAACGTTCACAGGGTTTATACCGGAATGAGGAACTCTAATTTAATGCTATTTTAATGCTATTATAAATAATTTTAATTTCATCAACAAGTATCATGTACACAAGTTATTAGTATACATGAAATAAGGAGCTGTAAGCACAGTTCCATGACTCAAGTTTGTGTAAATATATCTATATATATCTATATATATATATAGATATATATAGATAGATAGATAGATAACATGGTGAAATCATCTTTACTCTCGACAGGCTGCAGCCATGTCACGAATTCCTCTTTTCCAGCCACTTTTTGACATTTGTATTGTCCTATTCTCTAGCTCTCTCTCCGCCTCAAGCTTATTTTCCAAACAACTGCTTTATGATCAATTGCAGCAGTTCTGCTCAAATTAATCGTGTCAAAAAATAGTCACTTTTTAAACACCACAATGTATTAAATAAATACAAATGCTGGGAACCAATTCTTTTTTTACATCTCTTTAATATTTTGTTCTATTCAACTACACAAGCATCATCTTTAAACTACTAAGAATTGTACTATAAATGTGACTTTACCCGATTCTTATGTACACCGTAGTAATTTATTGATATGCCGCACAATGTCCTCCTTTTTGGTGCTATAGAAATGGCCACCCTAGGCATGAGTGAACCAGAGAGGGTGGGGGAGTGGCGTGAAACCTGTTTTTCTTCAAATTTTCAGTCGAAGTCTGCTCTCTCCTCAATGTTACAGACTGCAGCTTTAATTTAATTTATTTTTTTCCCAGATAGAAAATGTAAATGTTATCAAAGTTTCCATCCCTTTTATTAGAGATGGTGCAGGCTGATGCTTTAGAAAGCTGGATTGTTTAAATGTGGGTGTGTCTTTTTTAATTTTTTTATTTGGTGCTTCTGCTGTGGTTGAAGACAGTGGAACCTCTGCTGCTCTGTTTTAAATTCCACAAGGTTTCTACTTCTGTTTGCAAACCTTACAAGGTATCAATGGTTATTATGTCCAAATAGTTGAATATATGTTTCATAAGTCTAGTGCAGGGGTCTGCAACCTGTGGCTCTGGAGCCGCTGGTGGATCTTTGGACCCTCTATGGCTCTCACTAGTGGCTGAAAATGATGAAGAACCAACAAATAGTTTTGAATGTAATACAAAAACAATTACCAGGCATAGAAACCTTGCGAGTTTGGAATATGTTTAACAGAATCATGGCTTTAAAAGTACCAGTAATGTCTTTGTGGGTCTAATTTTCTTGTTCCTAGCTTTGAAATTACATTTTATTTTCTTTTTACATCAAATAACATTTTATTGAGGAAAGCCCATGTTTTCTCTTTCTCGTGAAGCATTTTCAGTTTCCACTTATTTTAAAAGCTAAAGATACAAATAAGCTGCTTGTTGTTTAAAATTGCCACAACTTTCCCATAGAGCATATTTACAAAATAATAATTTGTGTTTTAATAAAAGCTTATGTAATATTTGTGTCTCTAAGCCATTTAAACTGTACTCTGGGCTTTTTTTGCTCTGAATGCATCTGAAAACAGGATTTAACCTTACAGCTAAAATAAGTCTAACTAGAGTACAATAACAAACCAAAATGAATGAGAAAATTCTAAATAAAACAATAAAAATACAAAGCCAATGTCCTATGGATTGCCAAAAAAACAACAAAGGGCTCCGCAATTGGCTGATATCTGCTTCTGTGCATATGCACCTTCTCTTCTTTCAGATATGCAGATATATTGAAAGCAGACAAAGAAATGGTCTAGAGGGAGGAGCCCTCCAAACTCATCATTTTAAACTTGAATCAACAGTTTGTACATTTAAACTTTGACACAACCAGGAGATCAGAAGAGAATGATCTCAAACCCACATCAGCACTAGTTCTGGTGTGGATGCTAAAACGCTAAAACACTTCCTGTTACTCTGTCCACTTCAAGCCAATCTCAGTTACGCTTTTCTATACGTCCCACTCAGCAGAGATAAGGAAAGGACTCACCTGCCACCATGAGCGTAAATGTAAATCCCTTCTTTACCGTCTTTCTGTGAACTTGGTTCGGCAACGTAGCAAAACCTATATACTCTTTGTCCTGATCCTGCAGAAAGAAGGCAGAAACATGTTAATCAGAGCATTGGGCACATTTCATGGAGCAGTCAACAGGATAAACCAAATGCATCTATGGTGCTTCATCACACTGAATAAATGAAAGTTAGGGACATACCCTGAGAGACATGACCACAGAAACAACCTTCGATATAAAGGTCTACTTTAACTGACCACACCTTAGGTCTGACCTACTCACAGCAAGTGATTATGGTAAAATAGGAGGAAAACAATCTGTTTTATACAAAATAGTAAGAAGGAGGTGGAAACACATCTGCATCTTATAGGTGATGTTGGCTTGACAGCAGTTATTGAAGTATTTGTATAAAGAATAAAAAGCCAGTTTAATAGAACTCACCTCTGGAGAGTCGTAGGGGTCAAAGCTCCCCCAGGGGCTCCGTGGTCGCGAGGCCGGGCTCAGCGGAGAGTCCAGAGATACCAGAGAGACAAGCTGCCTCTTCAAAGGCAGAATCTGTGAGGAGCCCCTTCCTGAGTGGGTCGGTCTGGGGGGTACTGTGGGAGAACCAGTAGGGGGGCAGGGGACGGGACGGGGTGCAGGGGGAGCTCCTGGGCAGCTGGGCAACCTCCCGTTGGCAGTGACCACAGTTTCCTCTCTCTCATGCTCTGGATTCTGTGTCTTTACAGCTGAATAAGTGACGGGAGGTAGATCCCTCATGGCGAAGGGAAACTGTATGTCTGCCTGGTCTTCGATGGAAAGGCTCGACAGCTGGGACAAAATGTGACAAAGTTTCCTTTTTTTTTTAGCTATTTATCCTACTTCTACTAGAGACTGAAAAGGGAATAACTATTACAGGTTTATTACTAAACAGTTTAACTACAGCTGCACACTTTAGGAAAACAAACCATTTCAAAAAAACATCAGAGAATGATGGCTTTAGGTATTCCAGCTGCCATAAAATCCTGATGTGTGCAGAACGGGCATCGGAACTGCTTTATTGTGGTTTCTTTTATCATTTTCTTGAACTATAAAATATTTCATTTTGTGATAAACAAAAAACTCTCACCGCATATTTAAAAGAATTGAGAGCGAGAATATGTAAAGCTTAAATAATTAGTCATTAGCAATTAGTCATTCAAGCAGTTGATTATGATGAAAATTTTAAATTCTGTCAATAGATTTTTTTTATATACTATGAAGGCCTAATTCACACTCCCTGGCCCTTTTTTTCACAAATTCCGTTGGTTAAAAAAAAGGAAACCATCTGTTTTTTATTGGGGTTTTTTGTGATAGACCAACATAGAATGATGCATATTTGACAATTCAATTGAACATCTTTTTATTTTACAAATCAAACCACTGTTTCAACTTTAAATTTAAACCAATTCACTGTGATGATAGTGCTAAATGAAAACCCAATGCAAGTACTGTATTTTCGTGACTACAAGGCGCATATAAATGTCTCTTTTTCCCCTCAAAATGTGTGGCGTGCCCTGTGTGTGTTGTTACTGCGGACGTTGTTGAGACCACTATGAGAACGATAAGTGTGGGCGTGGATTGTGTATAAAAGAACAGGTATGTGCTTTATGCACAACTCCTTATCTCCTCATTGAGGAGATGAAAGAGTGGCTGAGGGAGGTGTATGTAAGTAGACCAGGTGGTTTTTTTCCATGCATCACCATCGCTGTTAATCTGTGGCTCCATGCGTGCTCATCTCACAGCCGATGTGAAAAACATGGTGAAACAAATGAACGCTGTGCTTGCTGTTATTCCGGAAGGTCCGACAAAGGAACTTCAACCGCTTGACATCGGTGTGAACTGGCCGTTCAAAGTAATGCTACGTTCCCACCGGACGCAGTAAGAGCAGCAAAATCGCGTCTGCTGCTTCATTTTTGCTGCTTCTACCAGTTTAGTTCTGACGCACAGCTGAAGCAGCTTTGCTGCTCTGGCTGCGTGGTGCAAAAGTGTGTCTGACGCGCGTTGGACGGAGCTACTCTATCCTTTCTTTGCCTTGCAGCTATATCTGCTGTGATCAGTGGGAAAAAAGTAGTTTTAATATGTTTTTAAGTGAGAAAGTCCACCTGAAAACTTAATCATTGCAGTCAGTTCATCCAGATTACAATCCTCTCTTCCAATATTATTTCTGTCGGAGCCTCTCAGACCCCCACATACCAGCGGTGCGCTGTCAGTAGGAATCCCATTCAACAGCAGCCTCTGGCCGGGTTGCCTCCTCGCGGTTCACCGCGGCGGCTGGTAGGTGTTTTTCATCTAAATAATCTAAACTGCAGGCACCAGGATAATAAAAGCGAACATATTCTGCCGGCAGATTTCTGCATTTAAAGTTAATTTATGCGTCAATAAACTGTTTCAGAGGAGTGATCATAGCGCTCTGTGTCATCAGCGATGTGTCTGTCTCACGGCCAGCTCCCAGGTTTGATTACTACTCTGTAATAAATACATGAATAAAACAAAAACATACTCAGTTTTGCTCCCGCTCTATATTTTAATACGCAGTAGAGGTATTTAAAAGTAGTAGAGGATATGTACCGGTATATAAAACCCGCGCCCTATAATCTGGTGCACCTTATGTGTGTGTTTAATACAGTAATGGCACACATAACTGAGACTGCGCCTTTTAGTGCGGTGCGCCTTATGGTCTTGAAAATACGGTAACCTCATTTTCTAATACAGTATCTGTGAGGTGGACATTTTTAATAAAAGCTGTATGAACTATTACCCCCACATAGTCTTTCTTTGAGGGGTTTAACCTTGGCATACATATGGCTGTTTTAGGAAGATATCAGAGGAAAACAGCAGTCAGGTCAGAGTTATTGAGATATGGCGTCTCAGCTCACTTTGAGCCTTCTTCTGCTGCAAGTTTCTTAATTAAAATAGACCTTTTCCTCTCCACTGTCACTGCATGCATGCTTAGTATGAAGGATCCCTGCAGAATCAACGACGCAATGCAGGCAAATATCCTCTGTTGCAACTTGATCACCCAGGAAGAGTGAGTTTTGGCAGGTTAATGACAAGACTCATCCGTCTTGTTAATTGGTGCCACATAAATAAGGGGAAGTTATTCTTTATTTGATGCAAGGTTAGATTATAGAAAATATCCCTAAGCTTTGCCATGAATGCAGGATGGCGACAAACCTGCTAAGGCATGGGCATCCTTCTGAACTGGGCAAAATGAACATTAATCAGTCAAAGAGCCATTCATCGTAACTTCTGAAGAGCTGCACAGGTAATGTGAATCAGTAAACCTGGAAAGCAGGACTGTTATTAGGCAAAGACTCCACAAATAATACATTTCCTTAAAGATGAAAGAGTCAAAAGTTTGATTTGTAGTTTGCCAAAAGCCATGGAGGAGAATGAAACTGCTTGGCTTTAAATGGGGGAACACTGAAACATGGAGTTCAGCATCATGCTGTGGTGATGCTCATTTACAGTAGGGAAAAAAAATATGATTTACTGTGCTTCCATGAGCCAGCAATAGAATATTTCATGTTGGTATTTCCTATTAAAGCCTGATCAGATATATTAGACTTTGTGGCAAAAGTAGGTCAAAATGTGAAAAAACTCCAGAAGTGTAAAAACCCTTTGAAGGGATTGTGTCCCATGAACTCGGATGATTTGCAAGATTATCTGTAAATAATCTGAAAAAAAAAGTAGCTGAAAATGCATTTTATTCTACTATTATTAGAATTTTTCACCTGAACTGTTTTGTTCACTGATTTGATCTGACCAGTGATGTCATTATAACTTTTAAAATAAACTCATCCATCTGTCATGGTTGGAGGAGAAAAGACTGAAGTTGAGGCTTTGTTCCGTCAAACTATGTCATGTTAAGTGACACATCTTTGCAAGATTCATCAGAGATTTTTGTTATTACATCACCCCACACCTGATTGTATACCCGACTCTAAATTACTTACTTTTCACAAACAGAAGAGAAGCAGAAATCAGAGCAATTGCTAAAGGTATCCAGCCTACTGCCCCACTGGCTTGATCTAATGACAAAGAAGTGCTGCAGACCTGATTAGGTTTCCTCTGGCCTCTCTCTACCTGTCACCTCTAATTACCCACAAAGCTTGGCAGCAGCAGGCTTAACCCAGCTTCTAATGCTCTAACAGGGTGGGGGGTTGGAGATTTACCTCCCAAACACACAAACACCAACTCTAACAAACACTACAGCTACAGTATTTTATAGAGTCCTACCTGCTTTTCCGTAAAAGCTGAAGTGTCTTTGAACAAAAGCAGCAGCGTGTTTAAATGTTAGGGGAAAGGAGACAATCTGGCTATAAGGAATATATTTACAATAAATGTCTGTGGGTATTTTCTATTAGCATAAACATTAAAATGAATAATATAAATAAGTAGTTTAGCTTGGGGGGGGGTGAATTCTTCAAGGTCCTCTGCAGGAATATTAGAGCCTAATTGGTGGCCAGCTTCAATAAATTATTCTTTCCCCTTAAACTGCTGGAGATTTAATAAAACACAAAGTTATGATAGAAAAGTGTAAATATTATGGACCAACCTTTTTTATTGCTCCGAAATCTGACCGGAGAAGACATGCGCTCCATGGTTTGATGTAAATCCAAACTGACCCCAGATCAGCAGTAGTAGGTGACACGCAGGTCCCTGCTGTCGGTATGGCAACCTGTTTGATTATCTATTCAACATCCTGGAGTGTGGGACATATAGTATGGCAAGCAACTTGAAGATATATTCAGTTTTCTCTGGCTTAATATGGGGGGGACGGGGCATGTTGCGCCAGTTCTCTGTCTGTTGGAGGAGTTTTAGGTTAAGCGAGAGTTAAAGTCCTATGGAAGTCATATTTAAATGTCAAATCTATCCGGCTTAAACATGTACAGTATATAAATGCACTCTTTATCAATAAATTCCTATTTAAAAGAAAAATCTTGTCTTAAAATCTGTGTTTTTTTTTTCGTTATCTTATGCAGGCCAGTTAGTTATACGTCAGCCTGAACATCTAAATTCTAAATTCGGTAAATCAACGGTAATAGCATCTTCATTCATATGTCGCAGCTAATATACACAACGGTTGAAATAAGAATAATTTCCTTTCCCATTGAGTTCCGTCCCAGTGTTCACGGGGGGTGGACGTCTGTGTCTTCAGCAGGCGTAGAACTAACAGAACTGGCAGCGTTGCGAGGCAAGGGCTCAAACATGTACGGCTGGAAGCCTTCTACACCAAACCAGGCTTCTGCCGCCCTGGCGTCCTCTTCCACAAGTTCGTCCCAACTTTTCTCTTCTATCAAAAAATGTATGACAGAGGCGACTCATCCACGACCTCCGACACAAAACTCTCCTCCTCTCGCATTTTTCCGCTGTCCATAGCGTTCCTTTATAGTGTTGTTTCTAAGTCATCAATTTAGTGCTACTTGGTCCCAATGGAATTTCCCATTGGGATTTTTAGTAAACGCTTTTGCCACTGTCTGTCTTGCCTTGAATACTGGGTCCTCTGTTCGTAGCCAGGACGTTTTTCAAATCTTTTGCTCCATGCTAACAATCAACGTATGCTCTTTGTGGCCCCTTTTCTGTTATCCTTAAAAAAATAAAATAAAAATAGCAACAACATAAAAACTGCCCCTGTAGGTCTTTTTATATGCTATCCTTATCGATGCTTTGATTTTCGCACTCAGTGACTCTAACTTTTGTGTTGAGAGGCCCTGAGCTTTTAATCGATAGCGACGTCTCAGGACAGGACAGAACTTAAAAACTCTATATCGTTTTTTTGTAAATCCAAGTGACATGTGGACAGATACACTGAAAACAAAGGGTCCAAGATTAAGGGCTGCTGTCTTTCAGTTGTACTCTGTCTAAATAAAGGGACTCAGGCTGAAAAATAAAAAAACATATCTCTTTGTCGTTTATCGACAATTTAATAGCATTCATAGCTCAGTGTATGGCACAGGGTTTAACGTTTCCTAAGAAAAAATAATCTAATAAATAATTCAACAAAGCATAAAAAAATAGAATAAGTTTCACAGCTTTTGATGTGATAGTTGAAACTAAAGCCTTGAGATGGACAGTTTCAGCTTATGACAAACATGATTTTCCTCATTAAACAGATGCAGCAATGCAGAATGTTAAATGAAACCTTGGAGGTCATTTCTAAACAGTGGTGTTATTACATAGTCTATCCACTAGGGATAATTTGTGCAATAAAAAAAGGCAATTTTTCTTAATATGTCTTTTGTTGCAAAAATACTGAGTTTAAAATATTTCAATAAATGAGGAAACGTCCAGACATTAAATATGTTTCCATTGAGCTGGGCTTCAGCTACACCTACTGAAATACTGATTTATGTGCAAAATAGTGAATATCAAGTTACATATCACTTCCAAAACATTCTTTGATTGTACGTTTTGGGACTTGGCTGATTTTGAACCTCTCTATTTCTTGTTAAGGTACCAATGTCCTTAAAAAAAAAAAAGGGCTCTTCCACAGCATTGGCCTTGGTGATATTAACGGACATTCAGAGAACAGAGCTGTCCTCTGTAGATCGTTCCCACAGCACACGACACGTTCTTCTAGTCCTGTTTGAGCGTCCCGCCGCTGAGAGTTCATGCTGGGATTTCGTTTGTCCTTTAATGATGCATTCCTCATGAGACTCAGACTCCCTTTTCCCTGAGTCTGAGTCGACAGACTCACAGCAGGGCGGATTTGTGTCTTGTGATGTAGTCCTCACACCATTGCCGTTTGCACGCTGCTCTCCATTCACAACTTTGTCAGCTTTGCTATCTTGGGAGTGATGTTGAGGAAACTCATTTGGCTCTGTGCGGCTGTTTGCTTTGTCCGAACAAAGTTCAGGCCTCAGATTTTCTTCAAGTGTTTCTAAAACGTTTTGTTCACAGGTTGCAGGAGTTTCATCCTGGTTTTGCTGACTCTGATTCTTCCAGAAGGATGCAGAGATCTGCTCCAGCTCAGAGAGCAAAGGCAGGCTGATGTCCAGGTTCATAAGAAGGTTGTCCAGCCACTCCTCCAGCTTTGAAAACGAGGGTCTGAAAGGAAAACATCTTCATTTTTTACACCTGTCTTTCTTTTTTTCAATTACCAATTTTCATAAACCTCCAACCTTTATAATGATATAAAACTAAATGCCTTATTGAAATGTAATGCATGTTCTTTTAAATCTTTCTATTTTTTTTTATTATTTTAATTTTACAGAAGTAAGCCTCTATTTAATGGAAATGTGTTTGAATCATAAATAGATTAATTATAATTTATCTTAATGACTATTACATTAGAAGAATAGCATTTCTTCGTCTGAAAAACCTTTAGAAACTAAGAATGACGTTATATCATGACATTGAAAATAAGTCAACATTTCAAAAGTGTATTTGCCCTTCATTTGAGGATGTAAATAAAACGATCAGCCAAAGGAATGAGCGGTTTCCCCTTAAAATAAGATAAGAAGATATAATGCACTTGAAATAAAATGAAAGTTTGTATTTTCTAATTGTAAACATAAATCATCTTGCTCCATTGGCTTACCTCCTCAATTTAAATGGAAATAAAATGTATTTCTAGAAAAAAAAGACTAACTTATGCTTCATTTTATATCTGCTCTTCCTCTGACAACATATAAAACAAAATATTGCACCATCCTACCGTTTATCAGCATCCATGTCACAGCAGAGGACAGCCAATGGCAGGAAGGCAGATGGGCACATTGGAGGGTAATACTGCTGCATGAAACCCTCCACATTGAGTCCAAAGTCGTTTGTTCGGGGAAGGTAGTCAGGATCAGCGCTCACTCTGCCAATAATCTGATGACAAAACAGAAATCCATAAGCAGATGCTATACTATTATACATACCTATCTTATGCAATAAGACTGGTAAAGTCCATTTAATTCATGCTCAAAGAGGGTAGTTGTAAGACACACTAATACTTTAGCCTCTTATTTTTTTGTTTCTATTTTTATTTCAAACAGTTTAGGATATGAAAATGCAAAATGTTGTTAGAAAATCAGAGAACTGCACATTACCATTGCAAATATATCTATAGAAATATAGAAGAGTTTAGATTCAGGGGTGACTAACAAATTCTGCAGTTTTTACATCAAGCCCCTACAGAAGCAACAGGGTTTTGTGTTACCCTGCCGGTATTTGCAGCCTCCAATACTTCTTGATTATATATTTTTTTAATTCAATTTAATTTATTTTATTTATATAGCGCCAACTCACATAATACCTCAAGTCACTTTACAGAGACAATTCAAACAGATCATAGAGTCAGATTTGTTAAAGTTTTCTGTCTAAGGAAAACAGCTGATTACCCTTATTGACTTAACAGTAATCCCTTGCGCATGTATGTAGCAACAGTGGAGAGGAAATCTCCCTTTGAACAGGAAGAAACCTCCAGAACCAGGCTCAGTGTAAGAGGCCATCTGCTGAGGCAGACTGGGGTTCAAGGAGACAGAAGCAGACATAGAAAACAAGCATAGAAGTACCTTATCAATAAAAACGTTCTATGTTAGAAAAGGCAATAGTGAACTAGCTCCACAGGGGACTCATTCTGGGGAGGAAACAGTTCAGCAGATGAAATCCAAGCCAGTTGTCATGTTAAAGGGATTTTAATTTATATGCATGACATCGACTGTGTCCTGGACAACTGTAAGGTCCTCATTGTTTTCCATGACTGTGTGAGAGATAACATTTATGCATCACTAAAAAGTTTATTAGTTTTATATGATATCATTTTCTGGGTAACATTATGCTTGTTTTAATTATCTTTTTAATGAACAAAAATGAACAAAATTGTAGGGTAGCAATAAATAATTTTTGAGTATTTCTCCCCCTACAGAACCTTTTGAAAATAGCATCACTGTAATCACTGGACACCCTCCACGAGCTGAGCATCTCAAAGCTAAAGCGCCATAGTGAGCCTTTTAGGGCTCAGTTTCTGGTTTTGGGAGAAAACCTATCAGATCTCAGGTTTCACATAAAAAGTTTACAGGTAATTCAATTCAATTCAATTCAGTTTATTTATATAGCGCCAAAATTCACAACACATGTCATCTCAAGGCACTTTACAGTTCAACCAGATCATACAGTCAAATTGATACAAAGTTTTCTATCTAAGGAAAACCAGTTGATTGCATTGACTCAAATACAATCCCTCACACTAAGCATGCTTGTAGCGACAGTGGAGAGGAAAAACTCCCTTTTAACAGGAAGAAACCTCCAGCAGAACCAGGCTCAGTGTGAGCGGCCATCTGCCGAGGCCGACTGGGGTTCAAGGAGACAGAAGCAGAGATACAAAAAGCAGCTGTAAAAGGCGGCCCCGTCCAGGAAACACACAGCCAGGCAGACAAGCTCCAAGGCAGCTCCCATGCCAGGTAAGAGAAAAAGAATCCAAGAAAAAATCTATTCTCAGGTCCTGAGGATAAGACCTGCAATTCGTAAAACTCAGTCTAAAAAAGAAAAGTGACAGGATTCAAATTTCTATTTACATATGTTTTTTTTTTTTTTTCTACTTACAAAACATGCTATTCGGTCATAAAAAAAAAAAAAAAAAAAACTGGAACAAAACTAACTCTATATACTCTAAAAACATTTTTATTCCTAAAAAGATAATGGCCTTTTCACAATATGGCCACGGTCCTCTGCCGCTGAGTTCAAAGCTTGACTAATCCCTTTTGATCTACGCTGTATATT